GGAGGATTTCAGGGCTCTCAAGGATTTGACATCCCCCAAAGAAAAGGGATTGCAGGGATCCGATATCCCCCCAGAGAAAAAGGATCTCAAGGATCCCAGGGATCCAGTGATCCCAAGGATCTGATATCCACCCAAAGAAAAGGGATCTCAGGGATCCCAGGGATCAAGGGGGACTTCAGGGAACCCAAGGATCCAATATCCCCAAAACTAAAAGGGATCACAGGATTCAACATCCCCCAAAGAAAATGGATTTTAGGGATCCCAGGGATCAAGGAGGATCTCAGGGATCTGATATCCCCCAAAGAAAAGGGACCTCGGGGATCTCAGAGTCCCTTCCCGGGGTCCCCTCCTGCTGCCACCAGGAGTGACAAAGATCCCAAAGGGAGACAGGAGACCCAGGCTGGCATTCCCGACCCTTTGGAAAGCCTGGAAATCCCATCCACCTTCCTAAAATCGGCCGCAGTGCTCCAGCCATGGCATTCCCGAGTTTTGTGGAAGAGCTGGAGTTGTTCTGCATTCCCAGGGCTTGGGCAGAAAGTTTGGGGTCAGGACGGAGCGCCTGGAATTTGTGGGATGGGGGAAAAATCCCACTAATTCCCCATCCCATTCAGGGCAGAACGTGGGAATTGCTCCAAGTGGGAAGAAATCAAGTGGAAATTCGAAGTAAAAAGCAGCAGCAGCAATTCCCAGCTCTTTGTCCCGTTTTAGCCGAGCCCGTCTTCCTGGAAAGCGCCAAACGAGCGCTCAGCTCTTTAATTGTCTCCCTTTCGAGGCTTTTTCCGTCTCCAAGATCCATTATTCCCTCTCAGGGAAGGATGGGGGGAAGATGATGGATTGAAGCTGCAGCAATTAATAATTTCACTAATGAGAGATGCTGAGCTCTTCGCTGTCTCCCCAGCCGGGAGTGAGCAGGGAAAAAAAAAATCCAAACCTTCCACAAAAACCTGTTTGAAGGTCGGATTAGGGGGAAAAAAATCTCAGCGAGGGAGAATCCTAAAAGAAAAATGGGATTTTTTGAAGGGAATCTCTAAGGAAAAGATGCAAATCCTGCTTGGAGTAGGATAATTCACGAAAAGTGGCTTTTGTTTTTTTGCAAAATGCAGGAAGCAATCCCAATCTGTGCTGCTTTTTAATTATTTAAAGGTGCTTTTAATGCGTTGTTGGGCTGTGGCAACAGCTTTCCCTGGGGTGTGTCTACAAAATAATGAGGCTTGGAGAGATTGGGATGAATTTTTCATGATTTTTGATGGTTGGGATGAGGACATTGGTGAAAATTTATTTTTAATTCTCCTGGTTTTTACCAACAGAATGGAATTGGGAGTCCTTGGCCACAAAGTGCTGAAAATCCGATGTGGAAAGAGAAGAAATTGGAGAAGAGAAGGGGGTGATGGAGCAGAAAGAGAAGGCTCAGCAATTCCTTCTGTTTCTAAAATGAAAAATGGGATTTTTCACCTCCAATTCCCATTTATGGACAGAGAAAAGTCAGGATTTTCCCTCTGAGTCTAAATCCGATTTCTTTATGGTCCCTGATAAAGTTTCTCCATAAGGATGGAAAATCAAAAAATCCAGTTTTGGATTTTTTTTTCGCTCAGAGCATAAATAAAAACTCTTTTTTAACCTCCTCTTTTTCCCAAATCTCCTCTCCTGCTGTCCAAAGCCGGGCTTAGGAAAGGTGAAGCTTTTCCTGAGGGAAAATCCCTTCACTTCACTCCGATTCCATCACCTGCTCCAGTTCCTCCTGGCCCTGTGTCAGGTTTTCCCTGGAAAATGAACTTTTCATTGCCTGTCAGCACCAGCCTTGGTAAGGAGAATTTTCCTGAAATTCAGGACAAATTCCATAAAAATCCACCCGAGCTGGGTCAGCCAGTGGAGATGGGGAAGGACAGGGAAGCATTTCCGAGGATTTTTTGGGAAGAGGAACATCCTCTGGAGCTGAGGAGGCCTGAGGAGAAGGAGATCCAGCTCTGGAGGGGGTCTGGGGTGGAAAAGGGAATTTTCCATGCCCTGAGTCCCCTCCTGGAGCCTGGAATGGGGAGGAAGATGAGGCAGCAATTCCCGATCTCCAGCTCCACTTCCCGACTCTCCAAAGTGTTATTTCTCCTTTTGGAAAGGGGGAAATGGAGGGATGGGCTCTGGATAATTGGGGGATTATCCCTGAAATCACAAATAATTCCAGTGGGGCAAGAAATGAAGCTGGGAATGATTTGGTGTGGGGAGGATGAAGAAATCAGGGCACGATTCCAGAGTTCAGCAGGACCCTCTGGAAGCAATAAAGGACTTGAGGGGATCCTGATCCACAAAGAAAATCCGGATTCTGATGGCTGAGCCAAACCCTGGATGGAGAAGGAGCTGGAGGAAAGGGTGGTCTTGATCCTGAGTTTTTTATGTACATTTTCAGGGATTTTATGTTCATTTCCAGGATTTTTATGTTGATTTTCAGGATTTTCATGTGCATTCCCAGGATTTTTAAGTGCCTTTTCAGATCCCCACCACCTAAACCTGACCAATCTGTTATTCCTCTTTTTTTGGGGGAGGGGATGGTGACAGAAGAGAAAAAGACAGGAAGGAGAAAGATTGGCATCTGTTCGGGAAAGGGGGGGGAAAAGCAAAATAATATCGGGAAGAGACATCGCTGCAGCAAAATCCATGCGAAGGAACATCCACCAGGCAGGAAAGCGAATCCTGCACTTGGATCCCTTGGGAAAACCTTCCCTGGGAAGCTGTTCCTGCTTGGAATGTGCAGAGGCAAAGCAGGACCTGCTGTGGGGAATCGGGAGCTGCTGCTGTTCCCAAAAAAAGCTTTTTTTTGGGATGAGTTCGGGGTGGCTGCACCCCCCTGGTTGGCAATTCCCGCTTTTCTGAGCTGGGAAAAGGCTCTCCCGCTGCTTGGAATGTGGGAAATGCGCGTTGGGTGTGGGGAAATCGGAATTTTCCAAGTCTGGGAGAGGTGGGAATCCTTCCCTGCGTGTTCTGGAGTGGTGTTGGGGCGATGCAGGGCGGCGCTGGAATATCCGGGATCGGGTTTTCCATGGAAGCGGGAGGAGGAGGAGCTGTCCCTGGTGCTGGAAAAGATCTTTTCCCTGCTCCCACTGTTTTTTTGGGAATAGCGAGGAGGGCAAAGCCAGCAGAAGGCTCCATGCAGAACATGCACAGCTCAAATTCCCGCTCAACCCTTCCAATGGACACCGGGAATGGGAGGAATCTCCTGGATCAAAACCCTCAAAAAAATCCCTCCAAAATAAAAAATCCCGAATCTCCAGGTGAGATCCCGCAAGTGCTGGCAGGGCCCCATGGAGCCAGGAATGTTCTGGGTTTTGTGGGGTTGGTGAGGGTTAAAGAGGGACAGGGGTTTGTGCAGAGCCGGGGTTAAAATCTCCTGTGAGAGGGGGAAAAGGTCTTTAATAGGGAAAAAATATTTAATAGGGAAAAAATATTTAATAGGGAAAAACCCTCTTATGTAATAAGGAAAAATGTCTCTTTAGTAGGGAGAAAACCCCTTTTTAATAGGGGAAAACCTCTTTTTCATAGGGGGAAAACCCCTCTAAAATAGGGGGGAAAGTTTCTTTAATAGGGGGAAAACCCCTCTTTAACAGGGGGAAAACCTTTTTTAATGGGGAAAAAAATGTCTTTACTAGAGGGAACCAGAGAACCAAAGTCTTCAATAGGGAATAAAACCTTTTCCATATGGAAAAATTCCCCTCCAAAACAGGGAAAAAGACCCCTCTAAAATAGGGGGAAACTCCCACAATAAGAGGGGGGAAACATTTTTTAATAGGTAGAAAAATTGTTTAATAGGGGAAAAAAACCTCTTTAATAGGGAAAAACTCCTCTTTAATATTGAAAAAAAAAAAGCCCTTCAATAGGCAAAAATGCCTCTCTTTAATATGGGAAAACATCCCCTTTAAACTAGAGGGAAAACCCTCTTTAATGGGGAAAAAACTGTCTATATTAGGGGGAAAAAACCCTGCTAATACAGGGGGGGAACCCCATTAAAATATGAAAAAATA